TTAATATGTGGATTCTAGAGTGCAATCAAGTAGAGAGATCTAGTATGCAGATGGAAATCCGAATCTAGAAGGGAGGTCAAGGCTGGAGACACAAATGTGTAAATCACAATCAAAGATTAAAGGCATACAAATGGATCGGATTACTCAAGGCAAATATACACAGCAAGAACAGAGGGGGGAAATAAAGGCCAGGAGCACTATAAAAACAATACATTAAGCAAATAACTACTTCAAAAACTATATTCAGAAAATCTCAACTTCTTTGAAAATAACCTACTTGCCCATTTTTGAAATATGTAAAGAAAATCTAAATATAGCCTAATGATGCAAATATCCGGAAACAGCAAAGTCTTAATATTTGAGTGTTTTTTTTCTAATCTTTCAATGCATAGAGCCCTAAATTGTCCATTTTTCCTTGACAAAATCAAAATCTTAAACAACTCTGCATTCAGCTTTTTTAAAAACATTTCTAGTGATATCAAAAATATCTTTATTAAACACTTCTATTTATTTAAAGCATTGATAGGTGAAACTTGACAAACTTGCCTTTTACCAGTAAAGACTCAACACTCTAAATTTAAGAAAAAGGCTCATTTCAAAGAATCATCAAAAACAGGAATGACAACTGAAGCACATTTCCTCAAGTAATTTAATTAGGAGAAATAAAGTAAAAAGAATATTTTATTTGATGTATTCCATAGTAGATAATGATGAATGGATTTTATAAGAAATCAGACAACAGAATGATGAATGGATTTTACAAAAATCAGACAATAGAAATGAAAAACAAGTTGTTTATTATTTGGGGATGCCCTTTATATAACCGTGAGATTACTGTGAAGCTCAAGTGAGTTAATACACATAAAGTACATTTATCGGTATCTGTCATATAAATAAATGCCCAATAAATACTGGCTATAATTATTACCATCATTATTAAATGCCAAAACCAGTTCCACATGAAAGTAATGGTTATTGCAAGTAAAAGAGAAGAGAAAAAAATCCACTGTGGTATGGAATTTATATTTATATTCTTTTCCTTTCATTATTTCTGTGTTTTTTATATTTATGTACTCCATAGATACCACTTTAAGTGGTATTCCAGTATAAAGTATTATTTTAAAAGCCTCAGTAAATATATACCTTATTCTTCATTATACTATTCAATACTCTCATTCTTCTTGACAGAAGAATGAATTTTGAGAGAAGAATAAATTTTGTCTCTTCTAAGTTTTCCCTATGTGGTAGAGTATAGTGATATGCAGAGTACTCAATAAATGTTAATATCACAAATCCTTATAAGAAAACAGAATAATAAAACAACCAAACAATAATTAAAAGCAAGAGGTCTCAAGGCCAAAATCAATATACCACAATACAAAGACATATGAGCAGAGTGAAACAGTGAAGCAAAAAGCTTTGTTGTCCACCCCACAGACCACATTTTCTTTGCTCTTTCTGGGTATAATTTAGGAGGAATATTAAAAACTCTGGATTATGTTCAAAAGAGAGCAACTGTTAAAGGGCTGAAGATGCTCAGGCTCAGCACAGAGAGTTAGCCCTCCTGCTCCCTCCCCTAACCTCAAAGGTGAAAAATGCTGTCCCTTTGGATTTCTGTATTGTCCAGAGGCAACTATCAAAAGACTGCAATTACAAAACAGCAAGACTCCTCTCAATTCAAAAACTTAAAATAAGGGGTCTCCTTTAAGACGTCAGTCATGAAAGTATGCACTCAGGCAAAAGTTGGGAACTGGCTTGCTAAAGATGCTACAAAAAATCTCCAAGCACAGGATAATGAGAATTCTAATTGGGTTTACAACCCTGTGACCACATCATGAATATTTACTGAGTATCTGCTCTAGGACCTGACATAGACCTATAATACATACCAAAACAAAATGCAAAGCAAGAGAGAGACGCACACGCACAAAGATCTCCGCTGTCCAAGAATATACAACAAATAACATACAAAAGGTATATTACAGTTTGAGACCGTAACAGATGTTGCAAAACACTATTAATTGTCCAACAAATTATATTCACATATAAAGTCAGAGATAGAAATTCCTAAGATTAAAATGATCAAAAGGCTTTTTACAACGAGATATGAAATACTTATGGGGAAAATATGAAGGTTTCGAACAGGTGGAGAGAAGCAGGAAAAAGGGGACAGCCCACATGTAAGTGTAAAGCAAGTCAGACAGAAACCTGCTCAGCTACACTAAAAACTTGTTTCATGGGAGAAGAGATAAGCTAATAGGGCAGGTTGTAGCCAGAATCAACTGTACTGGGCCTTGAATACCCAGCTAAGTTGTTTAAAATTTATCTTGCAGATGGTCTCTGCAGTAAGTACTCAACTCTGCCATTGTAGCCATAGAAAATAGTAAATAAATGGCATGACTATTACAGGACTGAAATTTGAATTTCATATGTTTTCATGTATCAAGAGGATCCCTATACAAAGTTCCTCAAAAAACCCTCTAAATGAGAGGTTCTCAACCTGTGGGTCACGACCCACAAGAACTGTATTAAAAGGCCAGGACATTAGGAACATTGAGAACCAGTGCTCTAAACTGTACATGATAGCCATTAGAACAGGTGCAAAAAATTTTTTAATTTCACAATTTATTTGCATAGTACATGCACTTGCGAGAGTTATAAACTATTCTTACAGAGCCTCTATATTACCTGGAGGAATCTATAAAATAGAGCATAATCAGGGAAAAAGCAGCGGGGAATGTGAGTTCTAGTCCTAGCTCTGCCATTTGTGCATTATCAGTCCTCAAATAAGTCATTCTCAATCCTCTGGAGCTAATTCTTTCACCTGTAAAGTGAAGCGTTTAACTTGCTCACTATGCTTTCTCTTAACTTTAGCACTGTGTGATTCTACTACTACTTAAAAAGATCGGTCAGAGAACTTCAAAGATCAAACAAAAGTGCTAATTAAGAACATAGAAAAGAAGAGAAAGGCCTTAATGAAATGAGCAGGCAGATAAGACTAACCAGTAGGAAAATGACCAGAAAAGTGCAGCATTACTAAAATCAAGGAATTATCGTTTTTTTTAATGCTATAAAAAATTCAGAAGAGGAGGAGCACAGTTTCCAGTAATCCAGAAGCAAATATGGGAGTGGAGGGAACCACTTGGACGAATAATGGGTATGGCTATGAAATAAGAAAAAACTATTTACTAGCTAAAGAGAACAAGGACCTTATGTGACAAGCCTTAGGATTTGAGTGCTATGCTCGGTACTTTGGTAGGCCCCATTAGGCAGGCCAGTAGTACTACCAAGTAACATGGAAGGAATCATTAAAGAAACCAGGGAAAAAGACGGCTAAAGACGAAACTAGGAATAGAAAATAAAGGAACATGGTCCAGAAAAAGTAGGGGAAAAAAGTTGTGACAAACTTGAAGCCTTAAATAAGGAAGTTAGTCTTAAAGAAGCATTTAGTCTTTAAAGTTCCAAAAGATAAAAGCAGCATTACAGTATTAGTTTTTACAAAACGAGTATGTTTCTGCAAAGCTGTGTATCATACTTTCTATAAATCAAATTATTCGGGAAATAAATCTAGTCTTGATTTTCTTAAAGCTAATTTCCACCTATAAAATATTTTCTAATGGTCAACGATTAAGAAAGGATTAATTTTACTTTTTGAAAACCAGCAACATGTAGCTCTAAAAGGAAATACATGCTTGTATCTTTCTTATAGCACCTATCCCTTCCTTCCCTGCAGGAGAATTACTTATGTGGTAAATAAAGTACCTAGCCCCTAAATGGAGCTCAACAAATACTACTGTTCCCTTTCTTAGTAACTACAGTTAGTTCCCAAGACAAAAGTTCTGATTAATTCATCTGTTTATCTGCCTTGTGCAGAGATTGTGATGCTTAATGAATAAATACTGACATACTAAACTCTGCCTTTTTAAAAAAACTGTCCTTGCAAAACAACTACCACTGATAGGAAAATATCTGTATCATGTAACTCCAATAATATCACTTTTGCATAGTGTCAGAGGTTGAGAAAGTAGCAAAGAATTACTACAGAACACCTTAAAAGGCAAAGAAAAATCGATAATTTGTAACAATCACTCATAAATGCCAACATTCTACATGGCTAATTTCAACCCAACACTTGCCACTATTCAAGGTGTATGAGAAATAAAAATCCAAAGCATTAGCCCGATGATCGGCCAGTTAAAAATACACGTTTGAATACACTGAAGATATTTATAAAGTCAACAGAGATACTATTAATATATTGAAATTCACTGGCCAGTGGTGGATTCTACTACTACCAGAGAAGCCAAAAAAGTCGGTTCTCATATCGCTTGGCTTTAAGAATTCAAGAAATCATTCAAATAGGCATATACAACCCAACCTTAAGAAAACAGTTCAGCTCTCCATATGGTAATGTTCACCTATCTCCTTCTGTTAAAGTCCCATTCACTACTTTTCAACCATCTTTGGTAGGCCCCATTTAGACAGGCCAATAGTACTACTAAGTAACATGAGTTGAAGAAAGTCGCAACAGTTAACTCTGCCCTCCCACAGATCACACAGGGGTGTAGATTTCACAAGCCGGGAGAGCTAAACACCGCCACTGTCAAAACCAGAAGCAGCACCGTCACCCTGCCGTGTCCATCGGCAACTGTTCCACAATGTTTTCTCTGAAATCATCTCGCTCTCTTTCTCCGCTCGACACGTTAAATGAGTACTTAAAGCCCATCTTCTGCCCAAAAGCAGCACTGGATTCTCCCGTCCGCTCCTTTATTCGTCCAGCCCAACACACCCGAGGGCAGGTCCTGCTCCCCGGACCCCTGGCCCCAGCGGGTCTCCCAACTGCTCGCCGCACCCACCTGACCGCCTCCCCCATCGCACCCCACTTCCTCCCCGACAGCCAAGCTCGCACCCCCGCCGGGCCCGCAGCCGCCCGGGGGCCTGGCCTGCGCTCCTGGGTCGGCCGCAGGCCTCGGGCCTAGCCTCCTCCGCTGGCCCCTCACCTCTTTCGGGACCAGTTGGTTCTCCTCGCCGGGCACCATCGCTCAGACTCCGGCCGCTCCTCTCCGCCCTGCCAGGGGAGGGTGGAGGGTGGCGGCGGCTCTCTGCCTCAGGAGAGAAAGGCAGCGGCAGTCATCGTCCCCGCCGCCTGCGCTCCGGCAACCGCGGAGGCCTCAGCCTGGGCCTCAGACACCAGCGCGCAGACACCAACCCAGGGCTCCGCTGCCGCCGCCGCCGCCTTCGTCGTCGGCCCCTCCCCCAGCTCACCGCAATCAATGGAAAAATGGCGGCGGCCGCTCTCGCGAGAATTCGGCCGCTCGGGCTTCGAGCCCGGCGCCGGAGCCCTTGGTGCACAGGCAGTTGTCGCTCCCTGCTAATCACTCAGCTCTTAGCCCTAGGACGTGCAAAACCGGTAAAGCGGGCATGCAAACTCTTTTCATTCGAGGGAAGCTGGACCGTCTACGCGGGACTCCCTCTACCGGGAGGGCAAGGGCCAGGCCCACAGTCCTCCATGTCTTCTCGGTCTCTTCCGACTCCCTTCCCATCACAAAAAGATTCAAGCCCAAAGTCCCTGCTCTGGCTCATACTTCTCTCGCTGCCTGTTAGCCAAGCGCCTACGCGTCATCCCGGCTTCGGTATCCCTAGCCTTGTGCTGGTAGTGAAGGGGCTACCGCTCGGCCTCCACCTCGGGACGCAGCTCCGGCCCTGCCAGTCAGAATGGGCTGCGTTATTTACCTTTTTACTCCCCTGTCGTTCTTTTCCCCTTGCCCATCCTCCTCAAGGCCCCGGTCTGAAGGGCCTCACGTCCCATCTCCCGCTAGAGGAGACAACACTTCTTTGCCCCAGTGAATTGGTGTCATCACGGACCCCCAACCCCATCCCCTCCTCAACTAAATGGAGAAATGCTCCCCTTCTCCCTTCCAGGGAACTAACTTCCTTCTTCAACAGAGCAAGTCTGGGACTCAGGTGGCCTTCGAGAACGGGACTCCAGTATGCTGCAACTTACGATCTTCTTTAAAAATGTTTTTAGAGAACTTTAACGTCCTCTGAGAGTAAGCATTCTTTTATGTGTTATGTTAAATTTTGCAATGGTCATTTTTCCAAATCTTACCCCTTTCATTATGAAGACTCAGCAAAGCGTCCTTCCTGAAGATTTTTGTGAATACAGTGATCTTAACAGCATGCTGAGATAATATAATGCTGCCAAATTCCTAATATCCACAGCAGAACTACCTGTATCTGGGTTCTCCAAACATTTTTTGATGGTACGTCCCCTCAGGGGAAAAAAAAGTATAAGTATACTTACATAAGATCTATACATTTCCTGCTATGTCTAGAATTATAAAACATTTGTAAAATGTAAAAAGGATAAGATAAAGATGACAAACACTTAAAATAACTGGGTTATTTTTCATATTAATAGTATAAAAATCCTTGTGACTCCCCCATAAAAATATTTAGTGCACTTACTGTAATTGACTAGGTCTCATTCGTTTAAAAAGAAATGTTAATACATTGTGAAATTGTTATTAAATGTCTGATTCAATGTCCAGGTTATTTTCTGTACTTCGTTTTAATAGACGTTATAACCTGAAAAAAGCGTTAACTCTCAAGGATGTAGATTCTAAAGAAAGTACATCTCCGGCTGCTCTTCCTAATGTAGGTCCGATTTTTATCAGTTCCATCCACCAACCGTGCAAAACTTTTTGTTGAAATTCAATTAGCCGTTTTCCATCTTGCCTGGTGTCATCCAGAAGATGGTGCATTTTTGTATTTTTAACAAATGGGTTCAAAACTCTGGAATAAATTGCTCAGAAGAGTTTTTTTAAGAGGTTGAGAAGTTCTGTCAAGCATACAAGCGTTTGGGGAGATACGGGTCTTTATTTAAATTGTCGATATTTTGTTCATTGTGGATATTTGAATTAATTTTCACTTTTTAAAATGTTGCATTTTGTTATTTAGCTTGATTACTGAACTTTTGGTGCCCCCTTACATCTTGTGCCCAAGGTAAATGACTCACTTCATCACCATAGTCTCAGCCTTGGACAACACCCATGAGTCATTTTTACACCAAAATCACAGAATGGAAATATTTCCAAACCTCTGTTCTTCCCCAAACTTAGTAAGGTGGCTTCTATAGAGCTTGGGCTAGAAGTAAAAATGTCATCTCTATTATCAAATTAGACATTTTTGTTTATTATTATCTCTAATTCATGTTTTCTTTCTTTTTTTTATTTTTACATATACGTGTGATTATTAGGTTTCTACTTTTGGCCTTCACAGAATTAAAAAGGCTTAAAATTTAACAACAACAATGTTTAAGATAAGGACTAGAAACAAAAACCTCGTAAAGAATGAATGAAGATAAATACATTCAGAAAAGAGATCAGACTCCAATTCACGTTTTCTTTCTAGAAATCTTGTGTAGCCACTTTCATTTTAATTAGTGTTGATATAATGAAACAACAATGTAATAGATAAATCTATTTAACCCAGCACACACAAACTGGAATAAGTCACATTTACTAAAAAAAATAAATAAAATGAAGGAATCCCTGAATTATTCTCCACATTGCAGAACTCACACCTTTCACTCCGAAATAGTGAGATGCTAGTGTTAAATATCAGTATGCCTTAATTTTGTCTGTTTTTAGATCAAAATAAATTTGAAAAAGAAGTTCTACTATTTTTTTCCATAAACCACCTTCTCTGAATATATACTTTTCTCTTTAGAAGCCATTGACCTGAATGTACTAAACCCTGCTAGATTGGTAGGCATGTCGTAAATATTTGTGGTATAAGGATATAAATGCATGAATTAATAAATAAATGGACAAATATATGGCTACTCTTCCTAGTATATTGTTACTGAGATGACATGTATATACATTTGATTATTTTGTATATGAATTTTCTGTCCTTAGTCCTGATGTCTCTCATAGGTTCGAAACTCACACATCTATCTACATTTTTGATGGCTCAAAACATCTGAAACTGAAACTTCACCAAACAGAACATTTGACTTGCACGCCTCCCTCACCTCCCTCCTGTAATGTATCCTCCATTCGTTCTGCCCCACCTTGATATTAGTATACCTTATCAATTGAGTTTATCAAACCAGAAACATGACAATCTTCATCTTACATTCAATTTATTACTTTGTGCTATGACTTTCACCTCTGAACTTTTTCTCAAATCTATGCATATTTCTCTGTGTCCACTACTGCCCATCTACTCCAGTCACCCCACTGCTTTGCTTGGACTACTGCAATTGCCTTCTAACTGGGCTCCAGGATTCTACTCTTATCTCTCAGTCCATACTTCACGCAGCAACCAGAGTGATTTTTTAAAATACATATCAGATTCTGTCCCTCTTGTAGTTAAAAATCTCCCCAACATTTCTCATCCTCTCAGAATAAAACACATTCTTTGCTTTGGCCTATAAAACCCAGTGTAATCTAGCCCTTGTCTACACTGCTCCATTCAGGTGCTACTCTTCCTCTTACACCCAGTGACCTAGTCACTCTGTCTTCATTGAGCTTTCGAAATACATAAAGTTTGTCTCTGTGCCAAAGCCTTTGCAGGAGTTATTTCCTTTCCCTAAGCTGTTCTTCCCACAGATCTTTGCTCTTATCTAGTTCATTCTTGGCATTTGGGCTTCCCAAATGGTACCTCTTTGAAGAGGACTGTCATGAGAATACAGTCTAAATTGGTTGTCTTTAATGTATCCTCAATATCTAGAACAGCACCTGGCACATAGTAGGGCCTTAGTAAATTGCTGTGGAATTAAAAACAAAGGCCAGAACTTCTATAGGTGACATTTTTTTTTCCTAAAGGTTGCTACTTTTTTCTTATAATTTCTTGAGAATATCTCCCTTTTTCTTTTCACATTAAAATGTTCATAGTAGTAATAGAACCCTGATCAAAATATGAAAAAGAAATTACATAAACTCATATTGGGGGACATGCTACAGGATGCCTTGTCAGTATTCCTCGAGACTGTTAAGGTCATGAAAAGCAATGAAAGACTGAGATATTGTCACAGACCAGAGGAAACTGGGAACAGCTAAATGCAATGTGGTACCCTGAATTGAATCCTGAAATGGGAAGAAGATATTGATGAAAAAACTGGTGAAACCCAAATAAAATGTGTATTTGGTTAATGTTTATACATTTTCAGTTTTTTAAACTTTTTAAAAAATATGCCTTTATTTTTATTATGAATAGTGCAGACTATATTGGGTGGCACCTGTGTCTCAGTGGGCAGGGCGCCAGCCCCATGTACTGAGGGTGGTGGGTTCAAACCTGACCTTGGCCAAACTGCAACAACAAAAAATATAGCCAAGTGTAGTGGCGGGCACTTGTAGTCCCAGCTACTTGGGAGGCTGAGGCAAGAGAATCACTTAAGCCCAAGAGTTGGAGGTTGCTGTGAGCTGTGATGCTACAGCACTCTACCAAGGGCAACAGACTGAGACTCTGTCTCAAAAAAAAAAAAAAAGTGCAGACTATTTAAATAGTAAATAAAAAGAAATTGTGATTAAACTTTATTTTAAGAGCAGTTTTAAGTTCACAGCATTATTGAGCAGGAAGTACAAAGAGTTTCCACATAACCACTGCCCCCACACACACACAACCTCCCCGACTAAAGACAACCCCCACCACAGCGGTACATTTGTTTTAATTAATGAAACTATTTCATTATCACTCAAGGGGCGTAGCTGCCATTATCTCTCATTCTTGGTGCTGCACACACTATGAGTTTCAACAAATGTTTAAGGACATATATCCACCATTGTAGTATCAGCAATAGTTTTACTGCCCTAAAAATCCTCTACACTCTATCCATTCCTCCTCCCCCTAACTCCTGGCAAGCACCTTTTTAACTTTTTCTATGGGTTCGCCTTTTCCAGAGTGTTACATGCAGTATTTGGAATCATCAGTTCGGTAGGCTTTCAGATGGGCTCTTTCACTTATGCATTTAAGTTTTCTCCAGGTCTTTTCATGGCTTGATAGTTCATTTCTTTTTAGCACTGAATAATATATTCCATCATCTGGATGTATCAAAGCTCATCGATCCATTCAGTTACTGAAAGACATTTTACCAGTAGTTGCTTCTAAGTTGGCAATTATCCTATGAATAAAGCAAATATAAGCATCCATGCATACATTTTTGTGCGAGCATCGGTTTTCAATTCATGAGGAGTTTACCTCTTGGTAAATACCAAGAGGCACGACTGCTAATGGCATGGTAAGGTACTTAATTTTGCCAGAAACTGCTAAACTGTCTTCCAAAGCAGCTGTACCATTCTGCCTTCACATCAGCAATGAACAAAGGTTCCTGTTTCTCCACATCCTCATCAGCATTTGGTGGTGTCAGTTGGATTTTGGCTAACAAGTGTATAGTGGTATCTCATTGTTGTCATTTGCAATTCCCTAATGGCATACCAGGTCGAACATCTTTTCATATGTCTACTTGCCATCTTCTTTGGTGAGGTGTCTGCTTAGGACTTTTGCCAATTTTTTCATAGCGTTGTTCATTTTCTTATTATTGAATTTGTTTTTTTTTTGAGACAGAATCTCACTATGCTACCCTCAGTAGAGTGCCCTTGCGTCACAGCAACCTCCAACTCCTGGGCTCAAGCGAGTCTCCTGCCTCAGCCTCCCAAGTAGCTGGGACTACAGGCGCCAGCCACAATGCCCAGCCATTTTTTGGTTGCAGCCATCATTGTTGTTTGGCGGGCCTGGGCTGGGGATTCGAACCCGCC